CATCCTGCTTCCATATTTGTCTACATTCACCCCATCCTACAGGGCCGTTTCCGGTGTCCCCCTCCCAAACCCTACCAGTCCCTTGGCTGGCAGGGCTCTCTCTGTGACAGAGCCGTGGGCAAGAGAGGGGCTCACTGGGGCCTTAACACCGTGGGCGCCACATAAATTCCTGCTCTGGATTCCATGGCTGAAGCGCACTTTCCCCAGAGAGGAAATCTGGATTCCAGGAGTGTCCGGCTCAAGACCTCATGAGCAATGGGTTGCTTGTGGCCTCTGGGAAGGGGCCTAAAGTTGGGGATGGGTGGCTTTGGGTGAGTGGTGCAGGCTGATGAAGACAGAAGTGTATATATAATCCTTCCAACCGTCTTGGAAGAGAAGACCTCTTCAGACATGCCCGTGTGCTGACACACTCCCTGGGGCCAGAGGCAAAGAGCGCTGGGCACCAAACACGGCTGATCCATAAACCAGCAATGAATTGTTGGCCAACTGGACTGACTTTTAAATTCATTTCAGAATGAAAGTCAGCATGCTGGCGTTCCTGATGCCTTCATTGTAATTGAAGTCATTGGTTAAAATCCATTTAGATCCCCTAGATATGGCTTTCTAAAAGCCAGGGGGTGGTGGTTTTGCATCAGAAAGCATGTGGTTTCCTCCCGGGACCTCAAAGTCATCATTTGTGGAAGAGCCGGTTGGCCTAAGACCAGCAGTATTCTTGGGCCTGAGCTGCATCGAATGTTCCGTAGGGCTTGCTAAAATGTTGATGGCTAAGCCCCACCTGAGTTTTATTCAGTAGATCTGCAGATCAGCAGGTGGGGCCTGAGAAGGTGCCCTTCTAACAAGTTCACCCATGATGAATTGTGATCTAGGAGCCCCACTTTGAAAGCCCTCCTTCTTAACCAGCACAGTGTGGTAGGGCCCCATTGGGCTTACAAGGAGCAGAGGCTGGGACTGAGGGCAGGTGCGAGAGGGTGCTGTCCAGGTAGGACTGTGAGAGAGCTAAGGAGCCCTGATGGGGTCTCAGGTACAGCCTGGCCGTGGGTTACGCTCAGGGCATAAACAACAAAGCTTCCCTGGCTTTTGTACCCATTTTGTGCCCCATCCTGGGCTGTGAGCCAATATAGAGAAAGGCGCAGCCTCCATAGAGGACCGTTCTCGGAGAAGAGTGAAGCTGTGAGTCTCTGACAGCTGCCCTCCCAACAGAGACAGGTTCTAATTTCTTAGAGGGGGAAACAGAAATGATGGGGTTATGTAAACTACACAGAGTGACACAACTTAGAATTTGGCCCCAGGTTGCTGGATTTCTGTGATGACACATAGCTGGTTGGTGTATGTCCTGCAGGTGCTCAGGGCCTGCCCACCTACTGCCAGTTTTTTTGTTTTTTGTGTTTTAACCAGGACAATTTCTTGATGCACAGTAGACTTCACCTGCGCCTGTGAGAGATCCAGGCCAGACCAGCTCCCACTGTGGAGAGAAGGAGCCAACTGGTCTGGACCCCTCCTGTCCTTGTTCTGAGAGCAAGACCAAGTCCAGGTGCAGTCCATTCTGGTTAATGTGTTTTCTGTACTGGAGATGTGAACCCTTTTCCCATGGAACTGGTGGATCCCAGCTAGTGGAAAAGCCAAAACTATTACCCTTGTTCTTGCTAACCTGCCCCAAGCATTCCCCCAGCTTGGCCTTACTCAGAGATGCCAGGGCAGGTCACCTGATGGTGCAGACCTTTACCGGTAGCAACAGTTACGTGGTCAAGTGGAAGGCATGGGGTGAGGGCAGGGTTGTGTCATCACCACATGCTGGGCACTCTGCTCAGGTCTTGATATTCATCATCTCATTATTTCTTGTAGCCACTCTAGGAGACGGGTCTTGCTTCCTCTGACACATGGGAAAATAAGACTCTGACAATTTAAGTAACTTACCCAAAATTACTTAAATTGACTGAGTGGTTAGTGGCAAAACGGATTTGAATCGGGGTCTTTCTTTCCCCAATACCATGCTTTAACCCATTCTGGTAACTCACCTCCTCATGTCCTTTGAGGTCGTATGTCAGGCATCCTCATGTGTGGCTCCAGTCCTACCTCATTTTCACTCAAAACTAGGTTCATGGCTCTCAGTTACAAGTTTACTGGTTTTATGAATTCTCACACATATTAAAAATTTTCTTTTAATGCTGCAATCATGTGGCTCATAAGTTTTTGTTTCCTTTCTTTCAATAAACAGCCCATTGTAAGTGTCTTCCCTTGTTTGCTACACAGACTCTCGATGTGTTGTTTTAAAGGTCCTACATTTCATCCAACACATCTACCTCAGTCTCCCCAACTAGTCTTTTTTTTTTTTAAGATATTATTTATTCATGACAGACACAGAGAGAGAGAGAGAGAGAGAGAGAGAGAGAGAGAGAGGCAGAGACACAGGCAGAGGGAGAAGCAGGCTCCATGCAGGGAGCCTGATGTGGGACTCGATCCCAAGACTCCAGGATCAGGCCCTGGGCTGAAGGTTGTGCTAAATTGCTGAGCCACTGGGGCTGCCCCCAACTAGTCTTTGATAGGCACAACAGGGGTGCCCCCAAATATGTCCACGTCCTCATCCCCAGAAGTGGTGGTCATATTACCCTTCGTGGCAAAAGGGATTTTGCAGGTATGGTTGAGAACCATGGGACGGAACATCTATCCTGGATTACCTGTGGGCCCAGTCTAATCACAAGGGTAAGAGGGAGGTGGGAGGGTCAGAGAGAGGGGGAGAAGTGATGGTGGGAGCACAATTTGAGTGATGTGGAGCCAGGAGCCAAGGAAAGCCGGCGGGCTCTTGAAGCTGGACAGGCAAGGAAACAGATTCTCCCTAGAGCCTCCCGAAGGAGTGCAGCCCCTGGATACTGAGACTTTAGCCCTGTAAGACTCATTCCCAATGGATGTCTGAGCTCCATAACCATAAGATAACAGGCCTCACAGTTGGCGATCACTGATACAGCAGCTACAGGCCACGAACACACAGCCCCTGCTTGTCTGGCCCAGTGCTGTCCCTCCTCTCCACTGAGGGTGATGCAACTTCCCTGTAGCTGATGTTTATCACATATCCTTGGGTTCTGGGCATTGTGTTGAGGGCTAATTAGTTAGGCCACTTACTCTTTCCCAGTACCTCTATCAAGTAGGCTCCATTGTCACCTCCAACTTCATACCAAGGAGCCACGGGATGCTGAGTGATTTGCCCAAAGCCACACCAGTAGCTAGAGACTCTGGGACTGTGTGGTCTGACTCTAGCGACCATCTGGGGCACAGGGTGGGAGGTGGTGCTGCCTTGGTCGTGCTCGCAAACAGTCCTCACCAGTGTGGTTTATCAAGTATTAACCCCAGATGCCACCCTGGCCCACGTACTTTACATACACTAGCCTTGGGGCATCAATAACGAGGCTGAGCGAGAGGTGTTCTTCTCTGCATTTTGTGGCTGCAGAAACTCTGAGAGGATGAGTAGCTCACCTACTGCCCATGAGCTTGGGGCTGGGCTGGGCTAGGCTGCAGCTCTGGGCCTCGCCGGCCCCCAGGTCTTTGCTGACTTTAGAGTTCTTTACACGATGCTGTCTGACTAGAGCCAGGAGATTTCCATCTTCATCAGCTTTATTGTCAGCTCATCATGACGCATCGACTCTGCACAGAAATCCATGAGATCTTTCAGGTCTTATATTTGCGCTTCATGGAAAGTAATGTGTGCACATCATCTTGGATGACTATCTCTGTCACTCAATAACAGGCAGAGATGGAGGCACAACCACACGTCTGGGACAGAGCTGATGGGGGCCTCATCACCCAAGGACGAGGTGGGACATGAGCGGGCTTTGGGTGGGCTGGTAGAGTGGCCCCTGAAATTCCCGCAAGTCATGTCCTGACCCCTTTGCAAATCTGCCAAGCATAAAAATACTATAAGGTATCATTTGCTCCATAAAATGCTTTGTATTATTTTTAAATGATTTAAAACGAGTTGTTTGAATTATATGTAAATATATATGTAATAAGCCCTTCTCATGAGTTGATGAAGATAGGAGTCTAACTTAGAAAGCTACTTCTGAAGTCTCTTTTTTCTTATCACCAGCACCAGCTGTTGGGGAATCACTCTGTATAGGCTCTGGAAAAAATCACTTTCCCCAGAATAGCTGCATCGTGGAGGCAGCACTGTTACCTGGGCTGCAGAGATTGGGCCACACAGACTCTCCTCTCTACCCCACCTTCCTGTGTTTACATACGTTCCTACATTAGCAACAGGTGATCATAATGCTGTTGCGTTGTGGATTCCATCCAGGGCTCTATGAGGCACGCAGGCCAGGTTTGGTGGATCAGGAGATTCCAACTTGTCCATTGTTATCAAGTTCGTGGGTGGTGGGGCCAGAACTGAATCCAGGTTCACAATTCGCCGCCAGTGTGTGCACTTGGATCTGATGATATCCCAGGCCATCAGGGTGGCAGGTGTCTCTGTGGAGGGCTACCCATGGTGTCTCACGTGTCCTTGCAGTATTATCACAGAATTATCCTCAGCCATTCGAAAGCAGCTTCGATGTCTGCGTCTGTGCCAATCATGGCTCCTTCAAGCGCTGTTGTGTTAAGACATTGGATGAAAGTTGGTCATAATGTTTCAGCCTTTCTTGAGTGGTGCTGGGAACCTCTTAGATGTGGTTTTCTCTCCTGCTGGGTATAAACTCAGGATGAGGGAGACTGTGAGCATTCCGAACTTGTTCAATTATTACTAAATCCAGGAACATAAACGACTGCTGGGTGGAAGAAGGAATCTTGCAGCCTAATTGTAAACTAAATAATAATAAAGTCATAGAGCCTAAGTAAAGGGGGTGGAATGAATGAGGGCAACGTACAAGGTTTTAACATGGGTCAAAATATACCAGCTTCACCCTTGACTGGTAATAATACCTGACTAGGTGATGTGAAACTTCCTAGTAGAGTCATAGAGTCCATCTCATCCTTTCATATACTAAAAGGTAGCAATATTATCTCCTTTTGCCTAGGATTACGGGACAACCGGTACACTACAAATGATCGAATCACCCTTAAACATCTTCAGTCTGATGTTACAGAGAAGAAATCTGACTTCACCGAGGTAACATGTTTCTAACTTCTAGGGTAGTCAGCAAAATGCAGCCAACTATAAAACATGATCACTGGCCTCCTTATGTTGTGTTTGCATTTTATTTTGTTTAGTCAAAACCGAATTAAGGCAGCAGAAAATCTAACCATCAATGGCTAAGACTTGTTAGGTTGAAGTACATGCTGTATAATTATTCTTTTATAATCCTCGCCAACAATTTGTAAATTTGCAGTATCATAGGAGAGGATGGTGATTGAATCTCCATTTTAAACCAAAATTAATCTGCTGGAGAGAGACAGGATGATGCCATGCAGCACTTGGAAGGTGGAGAAGAGATAATTGGAAATCTAACAAGCTAGTATACATTGTTATAACGGCAGAAAATGTCAGTTGTCTGAAATAGGGAGAAAATTAGAGGTCATATGTATAAAATGAAATGTTTCTGATTCTAGAGAACAAAGACTCTGTACATGGTGGTTAATACCACCAGTGTCTCTCACACCAGGTTCTGGCTAATTGACTGACTCATTCCATCCTTCCCACAGTCCCTGGAGGGAGATATTATTATGATACCTATTTTGTAGGTGAGAAAAGTAAAGCTCCAGTACCTCTAGTACTTGACTTGCCCTGAATCCCCCAGCTGTCCGGCTCCAGAGCTTCTGTTCTCATCTTGCTTGAAAGGCTGGCATCAGGGAAGGCTCATTCTAGTTATGTGGACTTTCCAGCCAGAAGGAACCGTCCAAGGCATTAGCTTACAAGACCACTGTTGTCTTTCACAAATGGATAATCTGCCACCGACTTTTGTAATTCTAAGAGATTGTGGGATTATAAGAATTGAGGTCTCATGACAGATTCAAGTGGCAAGGGTACCTGTAAAAAAATTGTTTCCCCCCCCAAAATACTTGTCTTAGGTATTACCCTTTGATTTAGCTCTGCATTTAACGAAGTTCGACATTTCCCTCAGAGACCCCAGGACTGAACTCCCACATGACAGAGAAAGGATGCCATTCTGGGTGTGAAGTCTAGTTGTCAATACTTAAAGCCCTCCCGCCCTTTTTGGAAGATATTATTTATTTAGTCATGAGAGACCCAGAGAAAGAGGCAGAGACATAGATAGAGGGAGAAGCAGGCTCCCAGCAGGGTGCCCGATGCAGGACTCAATCCCAGGCCCTTGGGATCATGACCTGAGCTGAAGGCAGACGCTCAACCACCGAACCATCCATTTAGGCACCCCAATACTTGAAGCCCTTTCTATAGGGAAGCACTGAGCTCACTGTCTAAAGATGTAAAGATGCTGGGCTATCACTAATTTGTTCCTGGGGAGCAGGAGCAGGAACCTCAGGTTGCAGGGAGGGAAAAGAACAAGAACAGTGGATCATGGAGAACCATCCCTGGAAGCAGGTTCCCAGTTAAGAAGGGCAGGATAATGATGAAGTTGATTGCTTCTCTTTTAAGAAGGATACAAGCTGAAGGTCTTTCCTACCTGCTTTTGACACTGAGCTGGCAAATTCCAGCATTTTCCTGTTGATGTTAAAATTAGTTTGGTTATTAGTGATAAAGATCTTTGCAGCCATGCAGCTCGGTCTCCATAACACACACACACACACACACACACACATACACACACACACACAGTCATTATCTATCATTGAATTAAATAACTCCCAGAAATCACACCTTCTAAACATCTGCTTTGGAATGATCTGGACCATCAGCTTTGATCTTATCAGTAGTGTGACTTTCAAATTTCCCTCCTAACTTTGAGCTTTTAAAGCTTGTCCCTGTGTGTTTGTTATAAGGATGCTGTAAGATGATGAAACACTCCAAACGGATGCCCTTCCTTTGTAACTGCCATAAATCTCCGCCTCTCCGCCGGAGCCTGCACAAGATTGATCACTTTTCCTTTCAAAATTCGTCGAAGCTGTAGAAATGATATGCAGGCACTTCTTCAACCAAGTGATTATTTAAAAGGAATGAAATATGGAACAGGGTTTTCTTCTTTGAAAAAACAACGTTTAAATTTTCCTGATCACAAAAGTACTGGCAGCTCCATGTAGACACTTAGGAAAATATAGAAATATATAAGTAAGAAAATATTGATATATATTTCATTCCCTTATTTTCCCCATGCAATCTTTTTTTTACATAAAAGTAGAATGCACATCAAGTTTTATGGCTCTCTTTTATTACATAAGATTCCATCACAAGCAATTTCCCATGGCGTGTAAATTCTTTGTAATCTTTATTTTTAATTTCTATGGAATACAGTGCAGTTGTGCCTGCCCTGATTTACTTACCGATCCTCTTTTAAAAGACATTTGGATTCTTTCCAGCTTTTCACTGTTATATGTTACACTGCAAAGAGTCCTTTCATTTCTTGTAAGTGCATAGAAGGACAAAAGTTTTAGGACGGAGATGGAGAAAAGCTACAATTCTTCCATTTGTCTTAAACCGGTCTTTCTCCACTGCTACATACCAGAGTGAACTCACATTTGAAAACACTCTTACATGCATGATGAAATGCCACTAGGTTGACAGATTGCTTAGTGGTGATAATTCTGGATCAAATAAAAAGGAGTAAACATGCTTGCAGCTAGCACGGAGGTGGCTGTAGAGAGTATCCGTGCAGACATGGGGCTGAAGTATCCATCTGGCAAACATAGTTGTAGGCTGCAGAGCAGCCATGAAAATGGCAAGAATTGTCAAGTGGAGAAAAATATAGATTTCAAAGCCACAGGTTGGATTAGATGCTTATCCTTTGGAGAAATAAATTGCAACAGGAATGGAAGCATCCTCATCCCAGTGGCTCAGGATCTGATTTCTCTGACCATCCGCCGCTTATCTCTTTCTTCCTTCAATATGAAATGGTGCCTTTATAGTAATATGCCTTACGGCATAAATATAAAGTTAAAAACAGTCAATAAAATGCATAAAACTAGGAAAGCAGTTACCAGCCCTACAAAATCATGTTTGAAACATTTAAAAGAAATCAATATCTTAAAGCAGCATTTACGAGAAAGAAAATACACACAGACGAATGTGGTACGAGGATGGTCAGGAAATGGGTGATTTATTGCCCAGGCAAGACATGAAATCCAACTATTCATTTGACCTTTCCCTGACCTTGAATGTTCTACTCTAAACGCAAGATTATTTTCTTCTCAAATCAAATCTTACATCAGTTAATCTTATTTTAGATAAAAGACACTTTTTATTTTTTCCAAAGCCATGTTCAGTGAACCCAATATAAAGAACAGACGGAGTGGCACCTTGAAATAGCTTCATTGGGAAAGATATTTGATGTGAACGATGGGATCACTTTTCTAAAAAGTGGCCCTGTTTTAAAAGCAGTGGGCCAAGTTTGGAACATCAAATAGCTCCTCTGTCTCATCTCTTTCTTGGTTTCCCAGCCCCGGAAGAAGAGCTGGACACAAAGTGATGTATTGTATTGTCAGTCATGGACTATGTCTCCCCCCACTCCGAATGCATGTGTGGAAGTCCTAACTCCCAGAATGACAGAGTGTGATTGTGTTTGGAGACAGAATCTTTAAAGAGGTAAATGAGGTTAAATGAGGTCAGCAAGGTGGGCCTTATCCAATACGACCGACACCCTTACAACAGGAGGATGTTGGGACATAGTCACACACTGAGGGAAGACAATGTGAAGACATGGGGAGAAGACTCAGAAGGAACCCACCATGCCGCCTCCTTGCTCTCCGACTTCCAGCCACCAGAATTGTGACAAAATAAAATTTCTGGTTTTAAGCCACCCAGACTATGGTGCTGTGTTATGGCTGCCTGATTTTTAAGAGGTTGGACCTTATCCTTTAATGATTTAATGGAGCTTAATAAGAAAATAGGATCTGCTAAATAGAACTTCCCATACAATAGTAGGATGTGAATTGATGAGCAAAGAGGAAAGTGTTTCTTTTTTAGTTTCTCTCAGTTGTCGGTTGGGGCTTTTGTCAAAGCTGGGTGAGAACACCTCAAGAAAACATAGTAAAATTTAACCAGTAATCCCAGTCCTGACAACCGCAATCCCTGCTTGGTGTTCTCTCCCATTTGTTAACTCTGTGGGGTCAAGAAGTTTCCTCAGTTTCCTGTTGAAGAAGCTCAATAGATATGTCTGATGAGTTCATGAAAAAAATGGGTTGATCATGACTCTATGTTATAATGACAGAATTTACGTCTAGAAACTTTCATTCATTCTATATTCACATTGACAACATTTCAAAGTATTGGCTATGTGATAGGTTATCTCCACTTATGTAATTCAAATAAACACAGAAGCATTCATTATAAGTACCCCCTCACTCAACTGGAGGTTTGAATCCATCAGATGTCCTCTGATTTCTGCTAAGTCACAGAAAATGTCACACCCTGCGGTTACGTATCATGTTCATATTTTGAGAGGTAGTTTCACATCCTTCATTGTTTTTGATCTCCAAAACTTCCTATAAGGTGGAGAAGGCAACCAGACTTTTCTTGGGAACTGGATTTCTGTCAGCATCTCTCCCTCAGGAGCAGTGTCACCTTGACATACTAGGCGACTCCCTAGCTTCAGAGTTACATTCAGATTCATGCCATTCGTTATTGTTCTTCCTTCATCTATTTGCATTTGATGGACTCAAAGTCACAGTTACACCTGCCAGGCCCAAGGTAATGAGGTGGTGGGCAGGGGATCCCTGGGTGGCGCAACGGTTTAGCGCCTGCCTTTGGCCCAGGGCGCGATCCTGGCCAACTGGGGATCGAATCCCAAGTCGGGCTCCCGATGCATGGAGCCTGCTTCTCCCTCTGCCTGTGTCTCTGCCTCTCTCTCTCTCTGTGACTATCATAAATAAATTTAAAAAAATTAAAACAAAAAAAAATGAGGTGGTGGGCAATTCTTTATCTTATCCTTCTGGGCCTTTAGGACCTCCTATAGTGGTACCCGCTGCAACCCCCAACGTAGCCCCAGGGTGTCCCCCCACCGTGTGCTCAGGATGGACCCAAGGAGGTCTGAATCCCGGCCTGGCATTTCTTCTACCCTATCTGTGCAGAAGAATCACCTGGAAGCTGGTTAAAAACATGGCTTCTTGGCCATAGCCCCAGAGATCCTGATTTACCCTTCACCTAGAGAGCGGGAGGGAAGAACCCAGAAGTTTTAACCCCACCCCAATGCTAGGTGTTTTTTTACGCCAGTGGTCCCTGGCCCAAACTTTGGGAAACATTGTTATAGAGTATAAAATAAGACCAACACAGCCCACTTTCCAAGATGACTATTGGCTTTTTCTTTCAGACACCTGTGTCAAAGGAATTCCTACCAGGTACGATTAAGCACCTGGTAGGGTGGACAGGCAATTAATTTCAGAGGTAAATTTAACTAGGGAGGGACTGTGTGCCAATCAAACTGCCTGGGGTTGGTGCCAGACGCACTTCACTTTTCTCGTATGTAAACTACAGTCATGGAAAGTACCTCCTCGAAAGGAGAGACAGGTGCCTCAGAAGCCTCAGGTGCTGCTTCTCAACATCACCTGCCCACTGGAATCACACTGGAAACTAAAAGCACTGATGCCTGGGCCCCACCCCCAGGGATTCTGAGGCAGTTGGGGGCCTCCCAGGTTGTTATGTATCATGAGAAGCGCTGAAGAGGAGACCCCACCTTGAAGGAGGTTTCAAGCAGAGCCTGGCTCTCGTGAGCCACCTGGAAAAAGGTAGCCAGTGCTATTTAGGTTTTTAAAAAGATGAAGTGAGTTTTAAGACGATTGTTTCTTCTTTACCTGTCTCTTGTTATCTTTTGAATTCGCAACTTCCCATGTATCTTTAAAATCTGAGTATGTGTCAGGTGATGGGGACTAAAACAGGGGCGGGGGGAAAAAAAAAAGGAAAAACCGAGTAGCTGACCACCTTCCCATGGTAACAGTAAGAATCAATGAGCCTCAGGTGCTAAGATCCCGTGTGCCAGGCCTCCTGTCCAAATTCCAGGTGGAGAAAAGCATTACATTAGTGGCCTAAGTGTTGATCCTGCCCTGAAGAAAATTTTGTGCTTTCTTATCACATCTAAGGGAACGAGAACAATTTTCTCGTTCCCATCAAGCACAAGCCCTTCCCCTCCTTGAAAAGACCAGCCGTTGTTGGCGTTTTTCAAAGTGTATTCCCTGGATCACCTGCATCAGAATCACGGGGATGTTGGTTAAAATGTACATGCTGGGGCCCCACCTACAGACCTCCAGAATCAGAAGCTCTGGAGCCTGGGGAACCTGCAGTGCTTAGCATTCCAGGCCCCTTACAGCTTGAGAATTGCTGCTTTCTTGCAGAGCACCAATTAAGCCTCCGGACTCCTCGAGAAGGCTCTGCTCCCGGTGGGAATCGAGTGGTTACCGTATGCAGGTTCAGGCAAGGGTCCCTTTTAAGCACGGAGAATACGGAGCATCGGAAAGGAGGCCTCCGACCTGGGCCCCGCGAGCCTGCACTACGCACTCGCCCACGTAGCTTTCTGCAGTGTTCTCCACGCACACATGAAAAACAAAACCAGGACAGAAGAGATCCTTCCTCCTGCTATTGACCTGGTTAGATGCTTTATTAAAAAATCTCAGCACATTGTTTTGGACACACTAGCAGTTTACTGTTAGGACACAGCTCTGCTGATAAGGAAGCGTGGCACACCTTGCTCCCGCTACTGGACAGAGGTTGTGCCTGTGCCCCTGAGCCCTGCGGTGCAGAGCAACCACACTGTCTCTTCCAACGCCCTTCCGCCCCCTTTCTGATTAGTGATTCCCGTGGTCTCTGTGTTAGTCTAGGTTAAGTCCAGCTTGGGTGTTTGATTGCCTTTGTTCGTCTGTCTGGGATTTCAAATCCCCATGGCAAGCATGGGGAGCCAAGGTAGAGGATTGTGTTGGGGATGCAGGCAGAGTGGGGGGGAGGGCTAACTCATCCCCCACATGAACCTGCGGCCCCAGGTCCCAGCCCTGCTCCAGAATTCCATCCTCCCTCCCCCATGAGGCTGTGAACTTGTATTCAGGTGTTCCCAGGCCTAGTGGAGAGGATTATTAAAATTTGATGATCCCCATCCACCCGAACATCATTAAATAAACTAACAATAGACACCCAGCAGAGAAAACCAATTCCCCCTGGTCGGTGGGGAGAATGATTTCAGAATGTTTAACCGTTTCACAGATGGGTCTGGGTTTCCCACCCTCCGGAGCCCGGGAGGAGGCGTCAGGTGTGGGGCAGGAGGCCTTAGACGAGAACACGCTTCAGGACGTCCTCTTGGCCCTTGGAGGAGCGTTTACTGCCTGCATGACAATGGGCTGCGTGAATAATTGCCATCTTTTTCCATTTGCAGGAGACTCTGGCATCGCAAAACACAAAAATGATTTCATCCATAGTCATTTCACAGCTGATTGATGAGAATAAATCAAAGGCAACCCGGGCTGCGCTGCAGGTGCCCTACGCTCCCACCCCGCGCGCGCAGCCACAGGCCTCCGTGGGCCTCCCTCCCGGGGAGCCCGGGCCCCCAAGGGGCTTCGCGTCCATCACCATCACGGCCCGGCGCGTGGGCCCCCCAGCCGGCAGCCTGGCGTGGGAGGCCCAGGGCGCTCTGCTCGCGGAACCCTGTGCACCCGCCGCACCCCGTGGGCACCAGGGACCGTGCACCTGCGCGGAGCTCTCCAGAACCTGCTCTGTGATGCGCCTGAAGGTGCCTGAGACGCAGCCCCGGCTGTGCGAGGCCCACAGGTACTGGGTCACCAACCTGGAGGACGCCCCGGAGGACGCCTTTCCTCCCAGTGCCCCACAGGCGGGGAAGGGGCCGCTGGTGTTCAGCTCCTGCGTGCACCTCAGGGTGTCCCAGCAGTGCCCGAGCTCTGGCGGCTACCTAGACGGGGTCCTCCCCGGCCCGGCTCAGCAGCCTCAACATGCAGGCCCCAAAATGCACAGGTCGGTCCTGTCGCTCCACCTGAGCTGCAGTTCCCACAGATTGACGCCAGATGGAGCAGATGGCCCAGCTAACGGGGTGCCCCTCTGCAGCGCCTTGAAGCAGGAGCTCACCCAGGGGAGCCCGGACCTGCCAGGCCGCCGCTGGAACCCAGGTTTGCAAGACAGTTTCTTGAAGGAAAACCAAGCGTTGGAGCAGGTGCATCTGGGGCCCTCCGCCTGTCCTTGCAGTGGCTCACGTCGGGTGGAAGATCGAGCATTCTCGGACGTGGGAGTTAACCAGGTCACTGTAAGCAAAGGGAGAGAGGACTACCCAGCCTGTGGCCCGGGGCGCGGTGCCAGCCAGCTGGCCATTCACATTCCCGGCTGGAGTTACACGGCAGGTGAGTGGCGTTGCCGTCCTGGGGAGGTGGGGCTGCCAAGTCCAGATCCCTGGCTGTCAGCTCATCCGTGCACGTCCCCCGCCAAGGTGGGCGGCCACTTTCTTCTCCGTGACTTATTTCAAGGAGCAGTTCTCCGGAGCCTCGCTCTATCTGCTCTGCTCTAAGGTGACCGTGGATAATTCAGTGTTCAAGTCTGCCTTAGATTTCACAGATACTTTTATAGATTCTGGGAGACCTTCCCTCTTGTTTCCAACAATAGCTCCAGACCCTGTAGTGTAGTGAGCAGGAAAAGCTAGCCCCCTGGTGAAATTATTTTAGGGCCACATCGCTGGAAAACAGCAGAGAGCAAAGTGCTGTCCACGCCTAGAGGTTTTGTGTCTCTGAGCTGAACATCTGCATATCTGGAAGGGTCCAGAGTCCTGCTCCTCTTTACCTTTCAATCCGACAGTTGGTATTTATGGATTGCTCTTACAGTCCATAACTGTGCGTGTGCGTGGGGCAGTGTAGGTGTGTGCATGGGGGCGATTAGTACTATGGGACATTTCTTTAAAAAGTTGGGGACTTTCCCTGTCAAAGAGCAAAAGCAGGAATTTTCTGGGGCAACTCGGCTAGAATTTGTTGCTCGGTCTGCCACTGCCAGAGCAAGGCAGATTTCCCAATGTCAGCAGCCCTGGGCACCCCTTTACCTTTCTTAAGAGATGAGGAAGGGGCAAATAGGCCTTCGCCCAACATGAGATTTCTTTCTCTGTAGAAAACTTCCAATTTTCAGTTTTACTTTCAGCGAGACAGACTCTAATTTATGAATTAGTGACTTTCCACTCGGGGAAAATATTTAAAGATAATAGTAAAACTGGAAATGCAGCATACGTACAATAATTTTATGGTATAATTTTTGTCCATTAAGGCTTTATTAATTAATAAAAATAGCTGTAAAACATTTTAAGCTATAATGTGCATAGAAATGGTAAATGATGTAATTAATTTTAACAAGCGTGTGTATATTGAATGCGCAGAGATTTTTAAGGCAATTTGACGTGGCTTTCAGGTTGATTAGACCATCGAAATGCTTGAGTCTTACAGACTTACTGCAAAAAGGAAGATGTAAGCCCTGATCAATGTTACAAGGATGGGCCTCAGTATCTTAAGAAATCGCCCGAGTCAGGGGATCCCTGGGTGTCTCAGCGGTTTAGCGCCTGCCTTTGGCCCAGGGCGCGATCCTGGAGTCCTGGGATCAAGTCCCACGTCGGGCTCCCAGCATGGAGCCTGCTTCCTCCTCCTGTGTCTGCCTCTCTCTTTCTCTCTCTCTCTCTCTCTCTCTCTCTCTCTCTCTCTCATAAATAAATAAATAGATAGATAAATAAATTTATCTATCTATCTATCTTTGGGGGTGGGGGGGAGAAATCGCCCGAGTCAACCATCTCCTCTTCCTGGTCCATGAAGATTCTGGAAACATACAACCTACATTGTTGTATGTCTGTCCCCTCCACCCCCACTGAAGCAGGTCCTTTACGTTGTGTCTCATGATGTGAAATAATCCTTTGGATTTATGGCATGTTCCTCAAAGACTCTTTAAAAATCCCTAGAGCCCGGTCCCAAACACTGGTTTCACGGGAAAGGAGCATGAGCAGAGAAAATCCCCTACCCCCACCCCAACTTATTTTGGTTTGGGTGCAGAGAAGATATTTGATTTTGACTTTGTAGAATGACTGCTCGTGTAACTGATGTTCTTAGGCAAAGAGTATGAGTCACTTCCCATGGGCCGATTTCCCTCAGAATATACTCCAGATCCCAAGGATTCCATGTGGGTGGCTCTGAATCATGTGGCCTGATTCTACCATTTGAGGAGACATATTCACAGAGGCCGGGTCACCTTTTTGAAAGTTGCTGGTCTATTATTTTCTTGTGCAGTGAATGTAGACAGGCCACCCCAACTCTCCGAGCCTTTCTTCATCTGAGTAGCTAGATAAGGGGTGCATTTGGTGTTCTCGAAGATTCCCTCTAGTTTGGAAAAAAAAAACTCTATTTGCCACAGGTGACATCTGTGAGGGAGAGTGTCCATGTGACTCTGGGTCCCTCAGTCATCAAGCTCCAATTCACAGAAGCTTGAGCTCTCCATTTTGGGCACATGCCTCAGATGCGTACATAGACACAGTCACTCACTCAACCCTCCCTAGACTTTCCTACTTTCTCACTCAGAAAGTCATTTGCAAGGGGACGTATTTGTTACCAGGTGACAAGAACGCGCTTCTTGTCCATGCCACTGAATTCTTGCCTGAGGTTTATAAGCACCGCCCATGGGCTTTAACTACCACAGCCTGTCCTGGGCTAATCTACACAGAACTCCGACGGTGAGCTTGCTGACCTTCGGTCTTGACAGAGCTTTCTAGCCTTATTGCAAGTGCTTTCTGACAGGGACAGTGCTCATTAAAACTCCGAGGAGCTGTTTGTGTTTCCTGTCTGGAACGGGGATCTCGTCGGAGGCATTCTTGACAACCTCCTGTGGCTACACAAGCTATTAGCGGTTTTCGTATTTCATAGTTACTGAATCTGATTCTTTTTATCTGAAGGATCCCCAGATCCTGGCCGAGCGGCATCCTCTCCAGCCGCCTTGCTGACATTCAGCCACAAGGGAGGTGCAGTCTGGAAGATTCTACAAACAGGCGAGGCCGTTTCAGTTCTAGTCATTAGGTCACCAGACAGGAAGTCCTATACATTGTGTTCTAGAATGAGTCTCCGGGGCGCACATGCAGAAAGGTTACTAAGATTAGGGAAAATGGGAGACTTTCACACATTTGGTGCAGTAGAGATAGGCCATGTCTATGGGGCATCGCATTCCTTGTGTCATTCCTTGTGTCTCCACTGTCGGTATGCCTCCTGCCGGCACCCGCAGGATGGGCAATGTACAGCTCCCTGCTCTGCTCTAAGGAAGGGTTTCATTGTCTTCAGCACTCATCCTACCAAGGACCGTAGCATATACCATGCAGGTTCTAGATGCCAGGTCCTGACTGACATCGGTTGTGTCCATTTCTTGGAGTCCTTCAGACCATTCTGTAGAGATGGTATCGTTATCCCTATTTTGCAGCTAAGACAAATGAGGTTTGAAGATGAAATGATTTGCCCAAGTCCACACGGCCGTTAAGTGTCGGAGCTGAGAACAGTCCTGTGCTTGGCTCTGACTGTACTCTCTCAATGACAGCCCTAAGCAGAGCAGCTTGCTGGGTGGAGACTCAGTGGTGGGCCCCATCTCCACTATCACCACGATGGGAATATTTGAAGACCACTCATGGACATAGGGAGTAATAGTAGCGTTTGGTGGCCAGAATCTATTAGGAGAGTGAGTTACCCAGTTAATTTCTAATTAAGTTACTAAGCTACATCATTTGGTACAGGTGGAACTTATTGGCTCAGAAATCCTTCCCAGCCTGAAATCCCATTCTTTGTGCTGTCCTATGGGATGTACAGTATTGATATGAATAGTTCTCTTTGCTGGGTGTTGCATGCCTGAAACAGTATTGACTTTGGTACATTACTTCTTGCCAGTTTAATTTTGCATCTGTGGCCTAGATCTGAAGCTTTCTCCTGTTCCCAAGACATCCACTGAAGTTCACTAGATGCTTTTGGAGAAGAGACTTATGAATGTACTTTTTTTTTTATTTGCCCCAAGCATTGAAGTTCTGTGGCAGACTCTGTCTCAGTATGCCCAGCTGGTGCTCACACTGCTGGTGGCCTTGGTCTGAGAAGTCCCTGGTGGAGTTTAGCATCACTGGTGATCAAAGGTGTGAATGGTTGGAGAGGATTCACCTGAGCGGAATGACTGGATCCCTGCTGCATTGTGAAAGGTCTACTGTGTCTACCAGTGTTCTGATGCTATGATCTAACACATGGGTAGCGAGTGAGGTTTATGTCATGAAGAAAGCACTTTCATCACTAAGGGAAAATGATAGACCATATGCATATGTGTCAAGCCTACCAGAGAAATCTGCATTGGGTTCTGCTCCTTTAGTCCCATGAGAACTTCTTATTAGGAGCCAGAAAACATTTGAGGAGCTCTTATTTTACAAATACGATTTTCCTTTAATGATCTAGAACTGGGGTCTACAATCTTTCATTGTAAAGGGCCAGATGGTTTCCGTAGTGACTACTCAACTCAAGCAGCCACAGACAATGCGTAAGTAAATGATCATGGACATGGCCTAATAAAGCTTTATTTACAAAAACAGGCAGTGGCCCGATTTGGCCTACTGGCTGAAATTTGCTAACTCCGAACCATTCATCCTCCTAAACAAATTTTACTCTGTTTGCAAGTCTTGAATGTTGGCTTCTCTGGAAACCCAACTCTGAGCTGGAGGTTAACAGGCATTTATTAGGGAGTGGTCTTGGCATCTGTGGGTGGGAAGGGAAAAAAGTAGGAATGGGCAGAGGGAGAAGTCGCTCTGTGATGCGGTCATAATGAAGGCCTGTGGGAACTCTGAATTTGGGATGGCCCATCAGAGTTATTCTGAATTGAGACAAGGGGGCTGTTCCTTTATCTGCCCCCCCCACCCCCGGGAAGGGGCTGTGACCGTGAGTGAGGCAGCTCTCTGTGCCAGATGCTTGCCATGGTCCTGGTGGACTCTCAGCAGCTGGGGAATCATCCCTTCTTTCCTGAGGGGGATCGAGGGCATCACAGTGTACATCATAGCTGGCCATGCTGCCCTTTAATCTATCTTTCTCGTCTGTGACCTCATACTGATCTAAAACACCTCAAGGATCTTGCATGGCTGGATCTGGGACAGTGAGGTGGGGGCATGCGCGTGGACCTTAGCACCTGAACAAAGAGGATAGTGGAGAATTTGCTCCCCACCCTTGATGTTTATTCATTCATTCAGTAAATGCGTGCTGGACATTGTCCTGGTGCAGGAGCAGCGACTTGGACCAGGTGGTGTGGTGGGTGTGCTGAAAGGTGGCCAGACGCTGACTGTTTGGAAGGAAAAGCCAGCAGGGTTGTGGATGATCAGGTG